AACCACCACATACACTGCGTGCGGATTGGAATCCATGAATGTAAATGAACTTTGTATCACGCTTGAAGGTTGTCCGTACGCCGGCGGTCTCCTCACCTGCCGGCAGTCTCCTCACCTGGCGCCGGGTTGTGGTGACGTCTCTCTCGTGTTCAGACAGATCTCGGAGTGTAATTAGAATATTTCCTTTGTGAAACCTGTTGAGGATTTGTGTCGGTGAGTCAGCTCTGGTTTCTAGAAGTCATAGATTGTAGAGACAGTGCGACGTACCTGCTGCTGTGTACTAGAAGGATATTGGGGACGGGCTGAGCTGGCCGCAGAGGTGAGAGATGATTGTCCTGAATTGTTGTATCTTTTCCTTGTTCCAATCTCGGTGCTGCTGATCTCCTGCAGCCTCTTTCAGTCCCTGTCTACATGCACTCCAGCGTCAGCTGCGGAATACCTGAACGCTGCTCTGCTCACCTGGAAATCTTCCAACAGAAGGGTGCCAACAGGACCCCCCGCTGAACGAATGTCATCAAGAACCAGCCAGAATTTCCTGTGCCGTGTCTGCCGTTTCCTCCAGCTTTCTATATACACTTACTGAATTATTTTTTTTGGCCGTTAAATACACAATCCATATATGTCCCGAATTCAGACCAATTGTTGCAGAGTTTGCACTGCGGTGGGCGGGGCCTAATCTGACACTTTTTAATTTCAGTAATTTGGTCATTTACATAGTATTCCGGTTGTAGAAATGGGACCCGGTTCTAATGGCGGAAAGTGCGGCTTGTCCATATACAACTTGCAGCAAGTTCCATAAGACTCCTGATATACAGAGTATCGAATAAATGTCAATCTTCTGTGAAGAGGGGGCGGGGCTCTGTCAGGTCAGTCACATTGTGACCCCGGTGGGCTGGATGTGTGCGGAACCTTCTGGAGAGGAATTCCTGATCCACTCACGGGGGGATCCTCAGCCTGGAGCTCGTGTCCAGGTTTAATGGATGTGGAGAAACCTCTTAGAGCTCAACTCCGGGATCAGCAGACATTGTCCTCATACAAGAGTCATGCGTGTTCTTCCTGAATCTCGGTGAGCTTTGTGTATTACTTCCAGATCTGTGCAAAACTTGGAGCTTCCTGTAAGAGACCGGACACTGCCGCTCTCTCTCCTTGTGCAGGGTGACTGGTCTGGTCTCCGCCCCCTCCTGCAGTTTCGTGTAGTGGGTGGGGTTTCCCCTCGTCAGTCGCATGATTGGTCGCCGTTCTCTTGTCGGTGATTAGGGATTCTTTGCTTTGATACAGGAACAGATATTGGTTCGGATGTTGGGACTCTGATGACACTTGTATTGTTCGCGGTAACTGAAAATAAGATAATAAAGATCTTTTTTTTTTTTTTACCGTTTGTTCACTTTCTTTGCAGCTAAAAGATGTTGAGTTTTTTCCGGCGCACCCTCGGGCGCCGGTCTATGCGCCGCCATGTGGAAAAGGAACGACTTCGAGAAGGCCAGAAATCGGCAACCCACATCCCAGCGGCTGGAGATGCCAAATCGGTGATCACATGTCGTGTGTCCCTGCTGGACGGGAGCGACGTCAGCGTGGATCTGCCGGTGAGTGCTCTTCTGATTGGACCGTCCTTCATCTGTGATGTCACTCCTGTATAATATAGCTTATAAAGGAGTGCGGTGATGTCACTCCTGTATAATGTACAGGTAGCCTGCGGTTTACGCCAATTTCGGTTTGCACTGTTTCCCAATAGCGCCCTTTTCCGGCAGTCACGTGACTTCCATTCATAACAACCGCTCCACCTAGTGTATCCTTGCTCTGCAGTCCTCATCTCCTATACACCTGCAAGTGGCTCGAATACTAACAGTCCAGTACTGTGCAGAGTCTCT